ATACTATGGAAATGTGCTGTAAGGTTATGATCCATTAATGACTGTGAAGCACTTTGAAATACCCCAGAAAGAATCCAGCCCTCAATATGCAGGCATCTCAAATAAAAGCACTGTCAGTCCACATACAACTGATCAGAAAATTCTTCAGTCTTCAGGATGTCCTTGTTCTTATGTGATGTAGAATACAATCTGGTGGTTTTTTCCAGACCTTTACTCTTACCATGATGTTTAACATTAAAGTTTGCCAAGACAAACTAAAAGGGTAAAACTTGAGTAAAGGATACCCATTTCAAGTAGTCTTAACAGGCTGCTGCCCCAAATGAAGCTCTTCTGTAGAATGGGGATGCATACACAGGCATTAATGCCATCATTTAGAAACAGGTGCTGCCAAGAAGTCTTTTGGAAACATACAGGGACAAGAGCTGGATATTAAAGAAAAAAATGAGCAAACCCATTAACTAATTTTCAAAGTTAAAATAATTTTTTTAGTATTCTAAAATATCAAATAAATTACAAGAAAGATATATTGTTAACAGTAAGTTTCCGTTAGGATTTGACTCTCTCCTGTGGTTATTTACTCACAATGACATCAATCTGTTCCAGGATCTTCATGAACTGCTCTGCAGTTCCTTTTATCCTCTTGTCGAGCTGTTTTAATGCTTCTGCTTGGAGATCCTTTGCTAAAAATCCCTGATGATGAAAAAGAAGGAAGGAAAGACAAAATTATTCCACATCCTACAGAATACTCAGCTTAGAAAAATCTGTCAATCCACCACAGCAGAAAACATCTTTTACTATTTTGTAGTTTCAAGTATGATGGAGACTCCAATCTCAATCTGTATTCCATCAAACCTTGAAATGTAAGATCTGCTAGGTTTACTTAAAAGATTAAACAAGTAACAGGCATTCCTCTTTGGACTTTAAGAGGACTTTATGTTTTTCTAGATCTAAAGAATATAATTTATTCAATATGCAAAAATATTAACCTTTTTCCAAACAGTGCCATGCCTCCATTTTGTAAATTCATAAATAGCATTTGAAATTCAGTAAGAATTTTACAGGCCCCTTGGGTGTTACAAGAGGCAGCCTATTATTGACTACACAAAACCCTGAAACAGTACTTTTTAAAAATACATATACCTACAAAACTGTTTTGCAAAGATAAAGAATGATACAAAACTGGCATACCTTCTGGATACTTGTGAACTCTTTATTAACTTCCTCTAACTTATTAGCTATTTGCTCCACTGACTTCTCCAAATCTTTCAACTTCTTTAATTCAGCTTCTTCTTCTGGACTATTCTGTGTATTCAAAAGTACAACATTCAAATAAATAAAGACACTACGCAGCTAAAAAGCAGCAACAGTGGTGATATAACTTAAAGGCTTTTGCTGATATAAAATACATACTATGCTGTGATTATTCTTTCCATCTTTTAACACCTATCAAATAAGTGTCTTCCAAAGCTTAATTACAAATACAGTCAAAGTGGCAATGTATATAAACACATTAAATGAGATTAATTTGAAGGGAGAAAGGAAAAGTGCAACTTTTTTTGTTAGCTTAACATCTTTAAAGTAGAGGTAACATTTCTATCACAATATATTACCTTGTCCTGTACTTGGCAAAGCCAGCCACAAGTCATTTCACTAGAAATAAGTCAGCAGACTCAGTAGCTACAGCCTTTTTTTTTTTAACCAGAAAAATAAGGTGGACAGATAAGGCCATATGAGTACACAGAAAGTTCATGAGCATTGACAAGCAACAGATTAGGCAGAAGTCAGTCAATACTGTAATTTCAGAAATGTACAAACTGCAGTTATTTGCGGTACCACATGAGAATGAACTCAACTTTGTGGGTTAGGTTACAACCTAACTACAAGATTGGGTTTATGCTGTAACCTGTTTCTGTGCTGAGCAGCTGAATCACTGACAGAAATTACAATAATTTAAGGGAGAAAAAAAAGTCCAAAGGCAACTCTTACTCTTTTCCCAATCAACATGACTTTGCAACCATTCTTAACACCAAGTGCTGACAATGGTTGTTCCAATTCTTTCAGAGACTTCCCTAAATGGAAAATGAGAGGAAAAAAAAAGTTAAAACACAGTTAGTGGCATCAGAACGTCTTTTTGAAGATATTCAAAACATGGACACCTGAAAGTGACTAAGATGAAAGGTATCATCTAAAATAAACATTGACAGATATATGTTACCTTTGTATATCAGCTTCTGAAAAGGAACTGGAACTCCTGTGACTTGTTCAATAAGCACAGCCATGTCTTGTAGGGTAGGCTCACCATCTTCTTGTTGGGAAGCAACCTGAATATTGTGTTTTTCATTACCTAACAAAAACCAGAGTAACAGTAACAGTTATTGTTATCTAGAATATTACAGGGAATCTGTTTCTAATATTTATTTCCATGAATGTGGAAAGTTCTCACATCATTTATCCTCATGTACAATCTCAATTTTAAATCAAAGGATTCTATTGCATTTCCTTCCTCTTGGACTGTCTTACCTTAGCTAAAAATTTAGTTTTACATTCTAATACCCTGAAAAGTGGGATCAGGCATATTCTACTGGCATAACGTTCCTGCTAAACGTTATTCCCCACCTCTTTTTAAGTGTGTACATAGTGTCTGGACATCCCACAGGCTAAAGCATGAAAGCCCACACCCTTGTCATGCACTCCACTTCCTACTGTAGGAACTTTTAACAGCATGAGTCTTGGGGAATCTGAGACAATTTAATACTTCCTTTGCTCTCTACTCCTCATACATGAGAAGCAAGCGATCAGTGTCTACCCTGCCTCCCCTCCATCAGCCACCTGAGAGGATTATCACAGTCCAGAAATTATTTCTCCCCATAATACTGCAGATAAGCAACCTTAACCACTTAGAGACATCTCAGTCGGTATGTCATCCTCCATCCTCCACTTAAGGAGCAGCTTATTCAGACTTCCTAAGATGACTTGCATGCAGAGGGCAGCAAGTTGATAGAAAAAAGGAGCATGGCTATTAAATTCTGCTTTGTAATAGACTCCTTCTGTAACTCTCTGCTCCCATGCACCTGAGGTCTGTCAATCTGAAAGCATTCACGGCAATCAGCCACCCCTGGCTGCAAGGGAAATGAAGACAGGTATTTTTTACTTTGCAGGAAGAGAGAACTCCTTAACAAATACTAGAAAGAAAACTACTCTCGTGCCACTAATTTGAAGTGCACATATCTTTTACAAAGAGTACTAGAAACCTTGATTTTAAAATGTTCCAGCCTCCCAGAGTCACTGTGGCCTCAAAAACTTGCAAGCTCCAACAGTATTTCTTAAATCTAAAATGGTTTTAAGCTCAAAATCACTTTATACAAACCTTCCCCTAAGCATTTTCCACAAATAGACCTTATTCCCAACTTGTTTTGGGGAAAAAAAAAACAAACAAAACAAACCACACCACAAAAAATTAGGTCCTAACCTTAATATATTTCAAAAGGTAGCTTCGATATACACACAACTGCTTTGTGCAAGGGCTGTGCCTGTCAGCAGTTGAGAGAAAAAACAAACAATAAATGGGAAAGAGAACGGATGAAGTTTGTCTAGCAATAGAAATAGGTTTAATTACAAATTAGGTGTACCACTTTGGGCAGACTACAACAAAAAAATTACTGTAAATTCACAGCAGAGTGAAATCACCAAGAAAAATACCTCATGGGTTAGAACTGGTATCATAGCTTATCACCTAGCTTCAGTAAATGACAATATGAATTTAAATTAACTATTAGTGCAAAATTCCAAAACCTTTTCTAAAAAAAGCCTAAATACATTTTAAAAAAGAGATCAGTTCAATTTCTTGTAGATTGTCAAGCGATACATGTGGGTCTACTACCATTCTCTTTCTTCACCCTTATTTCCATCTCTCCCCACTTTCACTCACACATGTAAAACTTCAATAAAAAAGTTTGTGCTAACTAGTAAAACAGCATCTGACAGTAACAAGTACAAACCAGCTGAATTCCAAGATGAAGGATGCCTTCTATTTGCTGTTCATTAATTACAAAGTAATTACCAGATAAGAAAACAACTGGAAAGATACAAACATTCTCAGATAAGACGATTACTGGCAAACAGCAAGATGTTGGAATTATAAATATGTTAATATAGTTATTGTCATCTTTGCAAGTGAAAACCCCTCAGACGAAATGGAGCTCTCTGAAGGCATCACAGAGCACATCAACCATGAACAGATCATTCCACCAAGTTCCTCACCAAAGACTCTTAGATAAAACTGTCAGGTGACAAAGGAAATATTTTCACAAAATAATGTATCAAATACAAAAGTAATAGTTTGAAAACACAAATGAGCAAGAAGAAATAAACAGGAAGCTCTACAGGTGGAAAGAACATTACCAACATAGTGCACAAGGAACAGGTGCAAAATTTATTTTTCCATAAAAACTAATTCATAAAAAAACCCCTAGTTTTGTTAATACAAATCAGCTGATTAATACCTTGCTGATTGAATACCTTACTATCCTTCTCGTTTCTCCTACTGCCTCACACAGATTCATCCACTTTGTTAAAATTTAACCATGGTATTTCCCATATTATTTTTAAGAACTGTGGAGTCCAGGCTATCCTTACCTCTCTGCAGTAACTTTTTATATTTGTTTGCAGACTTAACCACATCTTCCCTTCCACCTTCTTCTCCCTTGTCCTATTTCTCTTCCCAAGGAAAAAAGCTCAGTCGTGCCAGCTGGCCTGTGAGGAACCCATTTCATCAGCTCAGCACCCAGCTGCCGCACCGACGGAGCCCCCCTTCCTGCTGCAATCCTGCAAACGCTCCAGCTTACCCAACGAACAGGCTGACGCCCGCTGGGCAGCACTCGCTTCTAAGGCGCGGGGCTGGCTTCAGTGAAACTGCTACCGGAACCGTGACCTCTGCTGCGTGCTGCCAGGCAAGGACAGCCTTGTCACCTGTTCCCACCACCAACCCTACAGCAGATCCACCCCTGTGCGGCGAGTTCCATCCTCCTGTTGATGCGGGAAAAGCTGTTTTCTCTTTTCCTTCTGTTGGATCGGTGTAAGCGACCCAGCTGGAGAGGGAGCGCGGGAGCCGCGGCC